AATAGAATCGATACTATGTATAATTAGTGAATAATATATGCCATTTATATAGCAAAAATGAAATTTTATATTAATTATGTAGAATTATGTATTAATGCGTATATGTGTAATAATAATAAAAATTATATTAAACAAAAAAAACAAAATTGCAGCTAGCATGTTTTCTTCTACATGGCCTCTGCTTTCAGAAAATAGATAATTGTTTGGGAGAAGTACGCAGCTTTCTAAGCAAAAATTCAGATTTTAACACATTAGTGGAAAAATCAAAAATTGCTCCGGGCGCGAAGCGGTTAAGCTTTAATAAAATTTTAGCGATTGGGTTTACATCTACTTCTTCTACATCTACAGAAAAAAGAGCAGTGATTAGAATAAACCTATGGCAACCGTCATCTATGGCAACAGGCTAATCAATGCTGCTTTTTGATTGGATGCACATTCCTTTTTGCCTTTATGATTTTTTTTATTTTTTTTTATTTCCAAACTCACCAAATTCAAAAATGTTGTCCCAGACCTCCAGGTATAATCTGTAATAGGGCAGCACTTTTTTGGTCCAAGCTGGAAGAACCATCATATATACAGAGTATTTCATCATGGCTCCAATAGAATCAATAAATGCTTGTGACTCCGGGGGGATTTCTTTTCCCAGACAACCAATCCGGGTCTCAAATAAGATGTATGAAATTCCTGGAGAAGGAGAGGTAGGAGAGAGAGATATACAGAGTTAAATATAAGGACGAACAAGGGTGCTCAGTGCAGACATTTTGGGGGCCGAGGTGGGTTGAAACTATAGGAGGCGTAAAGTGTAACATTGCCACAAGGCCCATGAGGTGACTGGACCCCAATTATGACTACGGAAAGTCACTCTTTCACATCTCTTTTCTCTTATCATCTTATGAATCTCTGGCAGGCTTATAAGGACTGAAAAAGGAAAACTATTTCATTTGATAGTGTAAAATACTTAGATTCAAATTTTAATTGGCTTAAAGGGAATCATAGTATGGGCCCATGCACATATATTTACAAGTAACCTCGTACGTTTAAATGAAGATGTATGACTTTGAACAGACATATCTTTTTAGTGGTTGCCCTTGAGACCTGAAGCTATGTAAAGAACTAGTAAAGAAGCAGCTGTTTTGGGAGTGGTTTAAGAACAAGGTTCTGTGTTTTAAATAGAGTTGTAGAATGACATTTAGAAATGATGAGTTAAGTAGTTTTGGTCGCACCATATAGAGAAGTATAGTAGTCGTGACGTCAGAAATAAGTTAAGAATATGCTTACATGAGTATATGGCCTTATAGGATAGACCAATCGTTAACGTCGATTTTGGTATATAAGCGACAAGGGACAGACACTTCTGGACACTACATAATCTCACAACACACTTCTTTACACTACATAATCTCACGACACACTTCATTGACACTACATTATATGACACTATGCATACTCATGAATAGAATTCTAACACGCCCATTCAACAAGAGACTTTGTTATTTCACCTGCTTAGGCTATTTTGGTTGAACCCTCCAGAAGCAGAAAACCTTACCAGGAGGTAAAGACTCAGAACGAGATGACATGCTTTTTAACTCTGCATTAACTATATACTTTGAACTATCAATTTGTAATTTATATTTTGCAATATTAATTGTATGCTGCTGTGACTTTCCATTATACAATTAAAGTCACAAGTTTTTCACTCTACAACTGGACATTCATTGATGAAGATTAATCACCTTCAGACGCTTAAATCGCAAGTGTCAGTCGAGAAATACTAATTTTCTAACAGATAGAAATTAGAACGTCAATGGAGGAGTGAGACATTGGCCGGGTTTATAGCTGAACTTGGTGGCACATGAACTTTTATTTAAATAAGTGTCTCAATAGTAGACACGTGCGATTCGTTTCGTTACGAATCGAAATTCGTACGAATTTTCCTGAAATTCCGAATTTCGGAGCATCCGAAATCCGAATGGCAGTTTCCGAATTATATCCGAAATACGAAATTCCGTTAACGAATTTCGGATCCGAATTTCTTATAAGAAAGTATATTACTGACGTGGAAGAATCACACAGCAAAAATGTCAAAAGTGTGTCAGTCATTTACGAACAGAAACCAAAAACAAGCTCAGTCATGAAGGGGTTAATAGTCACAAATAATATAAATCCACTTTGTGATCACCAAATGTCTTTGCAAACCCAGAAATTACCTTGCAGTAGCAGTGACATCATCACTACATTATGCATAGCCTGTGCAGAGAGCAGAGCTGTGGGAGGGATCCAACAGGCTCCACCCACTACAGGAAACTACAGGAAGGGGGCGGAGACAAGGGCTCTCTCCTGCACAAGGCGAGAGGGCAGCAGTAACTGGTCTTTAGTACAGGAAGCTCCAAGCTTCACACAGGATTCTTGCACAGATCTGGAAGAAATACACGAAGCTCACTAAGATTCAAGGAAGAATCACAGAATCATTACACATGACTCTTGTACTTCTTTTCGACAATATTTGCTTACCCCAGAGCAGGTATCCCAACCTGAAATAAGGCATTAAGGTGCCCTCTGTCAAACTTCCCCCCTCCCCCCCTTAGGCGGGGGGGGGAGGGGGGG